CCCCCCATGTCACCCCTATGTATCACAACCCCACGTTCCCCATGTCCCCCTATTCGTGGTGTCTCCCCAGTGTCCCCCCCAATGTCCCACGTCCCAGGAGGGGGACGTAGACCCCCCTATTTGGGTCACAGCATTGTCCATGTTCCCCATGTCCCCCTATTCGTGGTGTCTCCCCAGTGTCCCCCCCAATGTCCCACGTCCCAGGAGGGGGACGTAGACCCCCCTATTTGGGTCACAGCATTGCCAAGGCACAGCCCACCCTCATGTACCCACCAGGGCTGGGATCTACCAACCTCTGTGAGGTTTCCTCACCTCTGGTTTGGCCAAAAAAGTGGATGCAGGGCCCAAGCTGACCAACTATGGGGGGGCTCAGACCCCAGACCCCACCCCAGGGCTGTCACCACCCACAAGTGATGCCTCGTAGGTTTTATGAGAAGGTCCAGGCACTGCACCAGGACTCCAAGGCCTCGGTGGACAATCCCTTGGTGGCCTTCAGCCTCATCAAACGTCTTCACTCTGACTGGCCCAACGTCATCTACAGCGATGAGGCCACTGAGAACACCCAGGGTATGGGAGGAGATGGTTGGGCCATGGGTCCTGTCACCTGGGGAGAGCTGTGAGGTGACAGGGACTTGGTGGAGGAGCCAGAGAACAGGTGGTGGAGCAGGGGAATGGGTGGAGGAGCTGGAGAATGGGTGGAGGAACAGGAGAATGGATGGAGAAGCAGGGGAATGGATGGAGGAGCAGGAGAACATGTGGAGGAGCTGGAGAATGGATGGAGGAGCTGGAGAATGGATGGAGGAGCTGGAGAATGGATGGAGGAACAGGAGAATGGATGGAGAAGCAGGAGAATGGGTGGAGGAGCAGGAGAACATGTGGAGGAGCAGGAGAACATGTGGAGGAGCTGGAGAATGGATGGAGGAGCAGAATGTGTGAAGGAGCTGGAGAACATGTGGAAGAGCTGGAGAATGGATGGAGGAGCTGGAGAATGGATGGAAGAGCAGGGGAATGGATAGAGGAGCTGGAGAATGGATGGAAGAAGAGAAGAATGGATGGAGAAGGGGAATGGATGGAGGAGCTGGAGAATGGATGGAAGAGCAGGGGAATGGATAGAGGAGCTGGAGAATGGATGGGGGACAAGAAAAAGAGGGAGGAGCAGGAGCACAAGTAGAGGAGCAGCACGTGGGGTCCCCGGCAGAGGGAGAAGCGCTGATCACGGCGCTTCGCACCCCAAGAGCTCATTAATCCCACTCCCCGCCCTCAGCCCTCCAAGCTGCCTTCAAGGAGGTGGAAGAGGAGCTTCCAGGAGCTGAGGACCTGGCCGGGGCTGCCCAGGCCCTGCTGAGGCTGCAGGATGTCTACGGCCTCAGCGTCAAGGGCTTGGCCAACGGCGTCTTCCAGCGCGTCCGGGCCGCCCCAGCGGCGGCCCACAGCCCCCGCCGGC